CAGCATCCATGGATCAGGCTCAGCGGGGACAGGAAATGTCCCAGATGCCAGGTAGGGGAGGGGTGTCCCGGACACCAGGGTCCCTTGGGGTTGAGGAGCCCAGACACTGGGGTCTGTGACACTCACCGATGGCCCCCAGGGTGCTGATGACGAGCTCTTTGGTGCGGGGCGGGCCGTGGCCACGCAGGGTGCCCAGCACGTGCTCCATCAGGCCTGGCAGGAATGGCTCGATGCCGGTACCTGGTGGTGGGGGGCAAAGTGGCATCGCATCAGCCCTGGACTCCTGGGTTTCTCTGGGCAGTCATGGGGGGAAATTGGGGGGGGAAGAGGGTCCCAGACACCTGGGTCCCCCATGCAAGCACTGATGGAAATGGGGGTAGGGGTGGGGGTCTTGGACGCCTGGATCCCAACTGACCGAGGCTCTCGAGGAAGTTCTCCAGGGCGTAGTAGGCCTTGGCCAGGTGGGGGCCGCGCCCTGGCTCCACCGTACCCAGGTGGGTCTGCAGCAGCGGCAGCACGTCGCCCGCAAAGGCTGCGATGTCCGGCTGGGGAGCCCAGGGGGTGCATCAGAGGAGGGCACGGCCCTCCCAGGCCCTGCCTCTGACCACAGCCCTTGTCCCTATCATGCTAGACCCTGCCCATCTGCCCCATATGCCTCACCTCTATTGCCCTTCGGCCCCGCCCCCTCACTGACCCCATAAGCTGTGCCCTATCTCCCCAGCCGCACCCCACTCTGACCCCATCTCAGCTCCACCCCTATTGCCCAAGCCCTACCTCACAGGCTCCACCCCCACACCACTCCTCTGCTCCGTTAAGCCCTGCCTCCTTCCCCAGGCCACGCCCACCTGGAGGTTCTCAGAGAACTGGCCCAGAGCGAAGAGCGCAGCCCCCCGCACTGCGGGGCTGGCGTCACCCAGTGCCCGGCACAGCACAGCCAACAGCTCCTGAAGGTGCCTGCGGGCAGGAACAGGACAGGGTAAAGGGCACCCTCAGCCCCCACACCCTAGCATTGCAGGGGTGGGGCACCAGGGACTCCCTGACCTGGCCCCACCCCTGGCTTTCCACCCCAGCAAGCAAGAACCCTGTGTCCGCCCCAGGGTATCCCACCTACCTATCCAAGCCCCACCCCTTCTAGCCCTGCCCCCAGGGTGCCCCACCCACCCATCTCATGCCCCAGCTTCCCCCAGGGAGCCCTGCCTTCCTACCCCAAGCCCCACCACCTCTCCAAGCCCTGACACCAGGCCCCACTAGAAGCCCCACTCCCAGGGTGTCCCAGCACCCCGCCCCCAAACCCCTCCTCCTAGGAGCACATACCGGGAGCGGATGTGGTCACCACAGCCCTCAGCCAGCACGGCGAGGCACATGAGTGCGGCCTTGCGCTGGTACGGGTCCGCGCTGCCCAGCGCCCCCTGCACCAGTGGCATCTGGAGGGCACGGACATGCGGGCATTGTGGGGGCAGGCAGGCAGACGCAACCCTGCTGCCATCCCCCTAAAACCCAGGCAGCCTCATACTGCTCCCCACCCCTGGCGATGGGTGCACTGTTACCCACTGGCCCCCAGCCCAGATGGCCCCCACCCTCTGCCGCCCGCTGCGGACAGACAGATGTCCCCGCTCACCAGGTGCGTGAAGAGCTTCTCGGGGGGCAGGTGCAAGGCCAGCATGTCAATCACCTGGGGGGCAAGCAGGGATTGGGGTCAGGGGGAGTACAGGCTCTGCCCAATCCATCCTGGCACTGCCCCCAAGAACCCCAGATACCCCCAGACTCACCAAGTCCTGCCCCCAAGCTGGGCCCCATCTCCAGAGCAACTCAAACCCAGCCCCACCCCCAATCCCTGGAGCTCCGCCCATCTCGCACCCCCGCGGTACACTGGGAAAGAGGAAGCCTGGCAGTGGGACTGACCTGAGCAGCAGCGTGCTTGGGCGTCTGCAGGCCCAGCCCCCCGTCAGGGTCCTCAGCATCCTCGTCCTCATCCTCGGGGTCCATGCGCCCAGGAGGCGGTGCCGCGCTCAGCACTGGGAACAGCGCCCCCAGCACCACCGGCACCAGTCGCTGCCGCACCAGTGCCTGGGGGGGGGAGGAGGGGGGGAGACCCCTCCTCTTCCA